TATTTTGCTTTGTCTTTGTTTTCTGAGACAAGGTCTTACTATGTAGCCCGAGTTACATAGTTAACAATGCCTTTTATGAGTTAAATCAATCTTATTTTACTTTAAAATGCAAACTGTGGAACATACTATTGGATACAACTGTCTCATTAAGACTGACTTGAGAGTGCCTGCCTAGCAAGCATGAGGCCCTAAGTTCAAGCCCCTGTACCACCAAAATAAAAAAGGATTGCACAAAGACTGACTTGAACAGAACTCTAAATATATTTTAGCATCTACTACACCAGTTTTGTTTGTAGCTCAATTAATATACAAAGGATTCAATATAAATGATTAAACAATACATGTGTGTATTTATTATATATATGTGTGTGTGTATATATATATATATATTTTTTTTTTTTTTTTTTTTTTTTTGGTGGTACTATGGTTTGAACTCAGGGCCTCATGCTTGATAGGCAGGTGCTCTACCACATGAGCTACTCTGACAGTCCTTTTTTGTATTGGGTATTTTCAAGACAGTGTCTCACAAGCTATTTGCCCAGGCTGTCTTCAAACCAAGATCCTCCTGATCTCTGCCTCCCAAGTAGCTAAGATAACAGACATGAGTCACTGGGGCCTGATACATGTTCATCTACATAAACAAAATTTTAAGTATAATATGTTAATATCTTTCTTGATATTTAGTATACCAATTAGAACATTCATAAAACATGTAATTTACTTAGTATAATGTTTTATATAGGGACAAATTTCTTAGTCCCATGACATTTAATGACATGTCAGCTCTTCTATAAACTTTTTCAACAGTTTAAGAAACTGTTTTAAGATTTGCTCTATGTTAAAACCTTAGGCTGGAGGTATGACTCAAGTGGTTGAGCACCTACCTAGCAAGCATAAGGCCCTGAGTGCAAACCTCAGTGCCACCAAAAAAAAAAAAAAAAAACTTGGTAGTTAAGAATTACCTAGACAATAATAAACAATTTTTAGTAGTTCATATTTTTAAGGACTAGTATTAATATTACACTGTGAGCAATATCAGAAGCAATCAACATAAAACTGAACTGTATGTTACAGATTCTAGTTACAGAGAAAGATTTCAAACAAACTGTTAGATGTTCTGTCAGCTATAATGTCAAGATCAGATAAGAAAGAGTAACAGCAGAGGGGAGAATTTGATCAAGGTATAGTCTATGTATGTACTGTAATGGAAAATTACATTGAAATGTATACTAATTAAAAAAGGATTTATTGTAACAAAAATGTTAGCTGCCTTCCTCTGGTTGACACAAACATGTCAGTTATTTTAGTAAATTATAACAGTCAGTGATCAATAGCATCAAGAGCTAACAATAAGTAGAGTTGTCAAAAAAGGTGTTAACCCATAATGCAATTAAGTCCAACATACAAGGATTTAAACAATATATATTGACAGAAAGAAAGAGAGAGGGAAAAAGAAAGAAAAAGAGAAAGGGAAGGGAGGGAGGGAGGGAATACAAATTACTATTCTATTATAGAGCCCGTAATCCCCAGAAATATGCACATGTAACATAAACTCATCAGCATAAACTCACCAACATTAATGGAAAACTATTTAGTTGGCTATTTGTTTTCACGTGTTGGTTACTATGTCTGAAAATACCTGGTCTTAAGATGGCTTTTGCTTAAAATGTCTGTTTCTTCTAACTTGGAAAATGGTTAAGTGTTGAAGATTACAATGTTAGCAAGCTAATTAACTTTAGGAGTATGGTTTCCTAGTCATTGTTCTGGAGGTTTTTATTTTTTTTTTTTGAGGTCCTGGGGAACAAACCCAGAGTACTTCATCACTGCGCTTATACGCCCTACCTCACCCGCTTGGTTTTATGAGACAGTTTCACTATGTCACCAAAGCTGGCCTCTAACTCTGGATCCTCCTCCTGCCTCTGTCTCCCACATGCTGGGATTACAAGTATGTACCACCACATGTGACTGATCATTCTTTAAACAGTATTTTACACAGTAATAGGGTCACTAAAAAGAAAGTATTAATAGACTAAATACATGGCAAGTTCATACTACATGCACAGAAGTCTGGGACATTTTAAAAAAGTCATATTGTCTATCCATCAAGAATCATAATTTTGGGCTGGAGATATGGCTCAAGTGGTAGAGCACTTGCCTAGCAAACACAAGGCCCTGAGTTCAAACACAAGTACTGACAAAAACAGTTATAATTTAGGGCTAGGGGCATGGCCCAAGTGGTAGAGCACTTAAGTATAGCATGCTCAAAGCCCTACTACAAAAAACTTCATAAGCTATTCAGACAAAAATTACATGAATAATTAGTTAACAAGCCATTATGTACGAAGCTGTTTGCTACATTCTATAGACTTACAATTTGATTCCTCTAAGAGTTTAGGGATGGCAGAGAAACAATTTGAACTACAATTGTCAGAGCAGCTGTATGGAGGAGGGTAGAGTCATTAAAAATTCTGGGATAGAGATTTAAGGGTTTCCAGTTAAAGAAAGTAGTTAATTGGTAGCTTCTATAAACTTATTTTTCTACTAGACTTTTAAATAATTTTAAAATGTAACAAAAATAACTTTGAAAATATATTTAGGCTGGTGAATAGCTATCTGAAAGGAAAATCCAGGAGATGAAGATTACCTCAGCAACTTTTGGGGGTACGCCATCCCCAAGTACTTCCCTGATGAAGCAGTTCTGGCCCATGTAATAGGAGAGTCCACAGGTCCTCTTGAAGGCATCTTTAAGTCGTTTCAGTTCTACATCTGTAACTACAATTCAGAAATAGAAGATGAGTAAGAAATCAGAAAGGAAAGTAAGTCTCTCAAAATTCAATTCCTAAACAGCAAGGTATGGTGAAGTGTGGTTGGGCACATCTGTAAACCCAGTACTCAGGAGGCTGAGGTAGAAGAATGCAAGTTACAGGCCAGTAGAGGAAAAAAAAAAAAGAAACAAACAAACAAACAAAAAAGGAGTATCTGCAAGACTCTTGAAAATAGTTTGGTTAAAACAAGTTTATAAAATATTCACATGAAAGTGGTACCTCAGGCAGTTTCAATTCATTTTATATATAGAAAACCAAAGAAGGTGGGTGTGATGGCTCATGCATACAACCCCAGCTTGAGAGGTAGAGATTGGAAGGATAACGGTTTGAGGCCAGCCCAGGAAAAAGGTTAGTGAGACCACATCTTAACCAACAAGCTGGTATGCTGGAACACACCTGAAATGTGTATCTCTGGCACAGCTGGGAGGACAGTGGTCAGAGACTGGTGTCAGGGAAAAGTAAAAGCCTACTGAAAAATAACCTAAAAGTACAAAGGGCTATACTTGAAGTATGGCTCAAATGGTAGAGTGCCTGCCTAGCAAGCCCAAGGCCCTGAATTCAAACTCCAACACTACAAAAAATTAATAAAATAATAAAAATAAAAGCATACCTGAAAGAATGTCACTGGTAACTTAAGATGAAGAAAAGCTGGATAAACTATCACAGCACAACATTTCTTGAGCCCATCAGAGTTGAAGTTACTGGGCAAACTAGTAGCCTGAGGTCCCAATAAAGAAACATCCCTCCATGGTGAGACAATGCATGCACTTATTTCCTCCCCAACAGCAAGCAACAGAAGATTTAGCTGCCATCCAAACAAGTGAGCAAAAAAAAGAGGCGAAAAATTCAAAAGGGCCGCTAATCTGCTTTCTGTCCCTACTGATTTGGCTGGTCTAGCCACTTCATATAAATGGAATCATACAATATTTGGTCTTTTGTGTTTGACTCAGCATTTTCTGAATGTTCATCTAGGTAACAAATATTAGAAAACTTCATTCTTTAGTATTCCATTGTATAGACATGCTACACTTTGTCTGGTTGATAGGTATTTGTTGTATACTGAAAATTATAAAATATCATTGAAAGAAACTGAAAACATACATAAATGAAGAGAAAGTCTAATTTCACCCATCAGAAGACATAATTGTTAAAATGATAATACTCCAAATGAATCCACATATTCAACACATTCCCTATCAAAATCCAGCCTCCCCCTGCCCCCGACCCATTTTTTAAACAAAAATTGGAAAGCTGATCCTAAAGAGAAGAGAACAAACCTGGAAGCAAAAGGCAAACTGCTACTATAAGAAGAAAAAGAACTAAATCTGGCAAATATCTAGAAGGAAAAGTCTCTGGAAATTGATGCCTGACTGAAAATAGAAGCAGTCTAGAATAATATCCAAGTTTCAATCCTGGGAAATTTGAAGGATGGTGTTTTCAAGTACACAGGGGAATACAAAAACAACAAAAAAAGTAAATCAAAAGAAAAATTAATAAACTCTTGTTAAGGACCTATTGAATACAGGAACCTTGGAGAGATACATAGGGATTTTAAATTTTTGAGCGTAAAGCTTAGAAAGTTTGGCAGTTATCAGTAAATAGGTGGCAATTAAAACCATAATAGATATAACAAAACCAAAAGACATTTTTTAAGAGGGAAGGGGGGTTAAGAAAGAGTAATAGAGGGGTCGCACTTGATCATACTATATTGTCTACATGTATGGCAATATTACAATGAAACCCTTTCTATAGTTAATTTGCGCTAAAAAAAATAAACGGGCAAATAAAATCATGAGTTTAAAAAAAAGCATGAAACTGGGAGAAACCATTGTTCACAGTATCTAAAGAGACGGAACATAAAGAGGAAAAAATAAAACAGAAAACTGATAGTCAGAAGGACAGAGGAGAAACAAAAACTGTGATCTCCAAAGGCCAGGAAGAAAGCACTGATCAAGTCTCAAGTAAGGCAGAAAGGACCAGCAAGATAAAGACTGAAGAGTGCCTGCCACATAACTTATCATTTAATAAATGTGTATCAAATGAAGGGAGGGTTCATGGTTCAACAATATATAGGGTAATGATTCAAAAAAACTAGTAAGTAACGAGAAAAGTATAATTATTAGTTGCTTAACTGATTAAAATTGAATCTATGATGTTAACACCTCCAACACAGTAATTTGATACTTTTGCAGAATGTGAAAATAAAAAATGGAACAAAGGTTATCTCATAAATTATAATAATGAAAGATAACTATAACTATTGGGATATCTATTTCTTTAAGACACCCAGCCTTTACTAAGAAAGTTGTTTCTGATCTAGTGGAAGCCAGAAAAATCAACCACTAGAATACGGTAATCTCCTCCACTGTTGGATTACACATAACCTGAAAACACTGTAACTTTTTTGTTTTTTGTTTTTTTGAAAACTAGCACATTAGAGCTGTGGGTGTAATTCTATTATACAGGGGTTGCCTAGCATGCTGAAGATTCTGTGGAGAGGAGTGGGGAATGGGAGGGGGTTGGAGGAGGTGATAACACAGTGATGACCAATAAATTTCTTCACTGTCTTCATTTATAATAGAGGGAAATATATATATACACATACACAGAAGCTTTTTTTTTTTTTTTAGGTACTGGGGCTTAAACTTAGGGCCTTCACCTTAACCCACTCCACCAGCCCTATTTTTGTGAAGGGTTTTTCAAGATACGGTCCCATGGAACTATTTGCCCAGGCTGGCTTTGAACAGTGATCTCTGCCTCCTGAGTAGCTAGGATTACAGGCATGAGCCACCGGCCCCCAGCACAGACACTTTCTAAAGCATTTATAAGAAGCAAACAATACCCATCAGCAGAAGAGAAAGAATAAGGAATTGTGCACACTCAAAATATCTAGCTAGGCATGGTGGTACACACCTATAATCACAGTTATAAGAAGCAAACAATACCCATCAGCAGAAGAGAAAGAATAAGTAATTGTGCACACTCAAAATATCTAGCTAGGCGTGGTGGTACACACCTATAATCGCAGTACTTGGGAGTCAGTCAAGAGGATCACGAGTTTGAGGCGAGCATGGGCTATATAGCAAGATTCTGTCTCAAAAATAAAAAATAGCTGGGCTCCAGTTGCTCACGCCTCTAATCCTAGCTACTCAGGAGGCAGAGATCAGGAGGATTGTGGTTGGAAGCCAGTCCAGGCAAATAGTTTGCGAGACCCTATCTCAACAACACGAAAAGGGCTGGTAGAGTGGTTCAAGGTGTAGGCCCTGAGTTCAAGTCCCAGTACCGTACAAATAAATAAATAGATAAATAAATAAAGTAATAATATAAAAAATTCTGGTAAACGATACAATGTGCCCTTAAGTATAATATGCTAATAAAAACAATTAAATTTTAAAATTCTGACAATAAAATATTGCCATAGAAAACAAACAGAACAACCTTTGGGTAAACTATAGGTAAAGAGCGCATGAAAATATTCATTATAGGGCTAGGAATTCAGAATACAGCTCAGTGGTAGCGGCCTTGCCTAGCATTCACAAGGCTATGGGTTGGATCCCCAGCACCTCAAAAAAAGAAAAAGTGCATTGTATAACTTAAATAAAATTTACTAAGGAAGACAGAAAATCTGATTGAATCAAGCTAAGTTTTTAAAGGAGGAAAGCATAATAATGTAATTTCTCTCTGGACTTCATTAAAACTATTGTGAGAATTGTAAAAGGGTATTTATTCAAAAGAACAGAAGAGAAAACTGAAGACTTAAGAGACAGTTAAATTCTTCTAGTGCACATTAATAGCTGAAGAAATGGCACTAACAAGAAGCAAATAATTTACCCAGTCCACAACTCCAAAAAGGCTCAGGAACTGTACCACTTATAGATATGGCTGGGGAAAAAAAGACTAGTTTAAAGTATATGAAGGAGTGGTTAGACACCCTGGTACCTTGCAGCAGAAGGCACAATCAGGCACCAAACTACCACCTACCCATACCCCACCACTTTCAAACCAACCTTTTAGATGTAATATCAAAAGGTCAGAGAAACATCCTCTGGAGAAACTGAGATAGAAAGGCTCCATAGATATAAATGAGAGCTACTGACAGGATAATGGGGAGCTGTATGTGAAAAAGGGTGAAGATTAAGTGAACTATTTACATCTTATCTTCTGCCCTAATATGATGTTTATTTGGGTCGGTGAGAATATATGGAACAAAGACTGTGAAGAGGCAGGAGGGAACTTTTGTAAAGTGAAAGAAATGCTTTATATGTTTGGTTGAGGTGAGTACATTTGTCAAATTCATTAAAATCTGTACATTTTATGGCATATAAATTATTATCAATAGAGTATAGACTTTGTAAATGAATGAGCAAGCCAGGCACAGTGGAGCACACCTGTAGTCACAACACTCAGGAAGATGAGACAGGAGGATCACTTAAGTCTAAGAGTTTGAGATCAGCCTGAGCAACACAGCAAGACCCTATCTCAAAAAACAGTCTAGGAGAGCTGGCAAAGTGGCTCAAGAGGTAGAGCACCTACCTAGTAAGCATGAGGTCCTAAGTTCAAACTCCAATGCTACCAAAAAAGTCTAGGAAGACCAAATGTTGAGGAAAGATTCCAACAAGAAAGGTACCAAAAGGAACACATGGTGGAGAGATGGAGAGAAGTAATAAACACAAATAGTAAAGAAAGTTGAGCATGGTAGTGAACACCTGTAATCCTAGTACCCAGAGGTTGAGGCAAGAAGATCAAGGCTGGGGACATACCTCAGTCGTAGAGCACTTAGCCCCAGCACTTAAAAAAAAAAAGGTTGAGGTCAGTCTGGGCTACACAGTGACTTCCTGTCTAACACAAAACAAACAAACAAAGTGAAGCAAACAAAAAAATATTAAAATCTGAAAACATTCTTAGAAAAATCACACCCAAATAATAAATAGGGTGCAATGAAAGTAA